AGTGATCACTGTGGGCAACTGGAGCTTAATGCCCACCCCCTGTGGAGAACTCCAGGAGAGCTAGTAAAAGACGCACACCTGTGAACAGAGGGAGCTGCCAGATGCTGGTTGAGTGCTGCTCCTGGTCCATGTCAACTCCCCAGCCCTTCCTGCCTGCCCCCAGGAAGTCAGCTCCAGCTGCCAGAGAAAGTCCTCGGGCTGGAAAGTGCAGCTGGTTGAAGATAGGGCTGGTGTGCACCGAAGGGCAGGGACTGTGCTCAGCAGTGCCAGATAGGACACTAGGGACACAAGAGTGAGACCCAGTGTTCCAGGGCAGAAATGCTGCAGGATGCCCAGGCTTCTGTATGGGACTGGCTCCTAACCCCATGGGAGAAACAGGTCACTTAGTGGAAAAGCACCAATTGCATGAAAAATCCTGCAAAGACAGAGATACAAGGCTGAGAACTGCAACGTGAAAAAAGACAAATGGATACTCATGTATGACTGAAGCATTGTGCTGTACACCAGAAATTGACACAACATTGTAAACTGACTATACTTCAATAAAAAAGAAAAGTAAAAAAAAAGTAGACAAATGGCCAAGTTCATGATTTTATTTAGACCTGGTTCTGCAGCGGGGTAAAACTGAATTTTTTTTCTTGCCACAAATCATTCTCAGAAGCGTCAAAGCTGTCACAGGAGGGATGGAGAGGCGCTCAGCATTCCCTGAGAATGTTACGAGTGCAGAATCGGCAACTGAGATGAAGCACTCAGGCCCACTGCTGTCCCGACTCCTGTAACCTCAACACTGGAGACCCAGCAAAGCCAGTCCCCCCTCTACTGGAATTCCTTCCAGCTGTGAAGTCATGGCCTTGACCTCCTTGGCTCTGTATTCACTGTCTTTCTGGGTAGATTACAGTGACAAGCATCCATGGAGACACATAATCTGGCAGCTTCTTTGGAGGACCAGGTTGATAATAGGGAAGTCAGGGAGGTCAAGGCCATGGCTATAGAGACATAGGGGAGTGTTTGAAGGGGCCAGGGTCACAAGCTACAGAAGGCTGATTTTAAAGAGCATCCATAGATGTGTGTGCCACAGTGCTGCCCACAAACACCAAACCAGGGGGGTTCAATGAGATGTCACTCCATTGGGTGCATTAGGCCATGCTCGCCCCATCCTCCAGAAGTCACATCTGGTTCCTTCACAGTTCTTTTTGGGGTCCTCTCTCTTGGGTGTTTGCTTGTGGAAAAGGCTCAAGTAAAAGGATGTATCTGTATCATACATACTGACTCCACCACCTGAGCCCCATTTATGGAGGAGCTGGACTCGCCTGGAAGAATTCCTAAGTGCTGGCTGGGTTTGCAGAGAGGGTGTTCTGGGAGGGGCCTGTCTTCATTAAATGAGCAGGAGGGGAAAGTTGCCAACAGGCAGCGGCCCAAATGTTGAACTGAGTGATGCCGTTAGGAGCGAGACCCTCCATCTGAACAACAAGTCTAATTCACAGACTTGAGAGAGGCTGGGTTGTGCTGTAGTTAGGGGCCTGGGTGCTGGGCTGGCACAAGTAGGATTGAATCCTGGCTCTGCCACTTACTAACTGTGCAACCCTGAGGAAGTCACATCACCTCTCTGTGCCTCGATTTCCCCATCTGTAAAATAAGGGATAATAAGAGTTTTTCCTGCATAGTTGTTATCAAGACTAAGCTGCCTGGTACCTAATGAGGCTTTTATAAATGTCAACTATGCTGATTACTCATTGCTGCCCTGCGTCAGAAACATTAGGCAAAGGTGGCTCACCATTTTATTGGAAAATATTTTTTAAATCTTAATCTCATGAGATATCAATCATCTCTGATGTGCACTGAGTTAAAATGAGAAACAACCCAAAGACCCACCACTTCTGGTTCCCTCACTCAAGGAAACATCAGATGAGAACAGCAGAAAGGCCATAAGAGTGCAGTTCAAGGCCAGGAGATCAGGGAAGGAGCACAGACTCCAGGGTCATCTGGATCCCCACTCAAACCCCAGTGCTGGCACTTAGCAGCTGTATGCTTTCAGGCAGGAGATGTCCCTTTTCTGGGCCTCAGTTTTCTCATCTATAAAATGGGGATAATAATAGTGTGGTCCTCTCTGCTAAGCTAGGATCATTAAAGACATTCGAGGCAAAGGGAACTGCGTGAGCTGAGGCCTGGAAAGCAGGAGCAAGTTCAGGACCTGGGATGCCTGGAACCCAGGATGCAGCAGAAGGGTAGTAACCCCCACCAGGACTCCCTGCTCATTAAGGCAGCACAGTAGATTCTGGTGCTTGTCTCCTTTTCCACCTTAGAATAAAGATCTCTTCTCTCTAGGGCAGAGAGGAAGTGAAGACATGGGGCCCCAAGGGAGGTGCCCCCTGAATGCTTGGCCTCTGGTCAGGCACTTCTAAACTTGTGGGCTCAGGAAATGAAAGTACTATTAAACTCAGGGTTTTTAAGTCTCCTTTCCAGGATGACACCAGGAATTGAAGGCTTGAACCTGAGGTTTGGGGCAGGATGGAGGTCTCCCCTTCATCAAAAATGCAAATACAAATGAGCCAGTATGTCACACACACACCACTCCCAATCTCTGAGACCTTAGCTTAGAGTTTCTGGGAGCAACAAATACAGAAAGAGTACCTCTACTGGCAGAATTCCAGGCAGCAAAATTCTGGGTGGATACCTCGACACATACCCTCATGTCTCAGGAATACATCTGGGCCCATTCAACACCCAGGGAGAAACGATCAGGCTTTGAAAACCAATTTCTGGGAAGTGTCTCAAGTGCTTGAGGTATTTATAGACATTTCAGAGCATGAAAAACCCTTAAAGAAAAGTAGAACCCCACCAACTGCTTGACCAGCCCTTGAGGCCTGTCTCCAACCCACCATTAGGACAACTTTGGAACCTTCAATAAAACACAGAGTTTTGATTTTTTTTTTAAATGATGGATTATTTTGAAAACACGGAGACAAATCCACTGCAACAGAAAAAGCTATAATACTGACTTTATTTTGCCATGGAAAAAAATTTGTGCTCAAAGATAAGAACCATTTTATATAAAACAACCAAATAAATAAATAAATAAATAGAAATAAATAGGAGCTGCTTCAAAGGGGAGCAGGGGTTTGATGGAGAAGCCGATGCAGACGTCTGCAGCCAGGACTTCCTCTTAATATCGCCTCAGCACTGTGGGGGGAAGAGAGGGTGGTGCTGACATTAGGGTGGAAGACAGGCAGGATCTGAGCCTCCCCTCACCACGTGCCATCTCTGCCACTGCCCCACCCCCTTCAGTTGATTTGGATACTTGAGGCTTTGGAATAATCCATCTCTCTTGACCACCGTTTCCTCATCGTGAACTGGGGGTTATTGTCTCCCTGGGGCCCTGCTCTTTGCCTTTGGAACTACAGTTTAGGGGGAACCAGTAGATAAATGTTTAGTGTTCGTTCTACTCCAAGGAGGGACTGCCAGACAATGACTGAATTTCATCCTAAAGTGATTCTGTCCGTTTTGGTAAGAGAGGCAGGAGGTGGGCAGAAGGTGGGTGGGGATTCAGAGGCATGGTAATGAATGGGCTGTCCAAATTTAATATTCCATGAAGGCACTCCTCCGCCCTGAGGACTGTCAAGAAGGAAGAGTGATATTCGGATGTCCTTTTCTCAGAGCCTGATTCCCAGAGACCTCAAACCCAACAGTGACTCTAGTGGTGGAACACAGTGGGAATGGGGGTGGCTGCTCACCATTGCAGCCCAGGCCGCTGAGGGAGCCGATCCGGTCCAGCCTCCGCCCAAAGCAGCTGGAGTCGCGCATCATCTTGGGGCTGCGTATTCCCCGCAGGGCCTCGAGGACCTTGTTGCGGGGCCCAGTGACCGTCTCGGAGAATGCCGCCGGGGTCTCCCAGGCTTCCGCGAGGCCCTGGCCCTGCTGGAGGGGCTTCAGGTCCATCTGCTCCGCCTGCAGCTCCGAGATTCTGTCTCGCAGACGGTCCAGCAGCTCCTGCGATGGGTAGGGGAGCCGGAGCCTCAGGAACCCGCACTTGGACCCAGCCGCCCTCAATGGCGCCAAAGCGAATTGATCACCTTGGGTACCGGGCCGGCACCAAGTCTCGCCGCTTTCTGATTGCTTTATCACTAATTCCCAAGGGAGGATGGGGACCTGATGGGACCATAGGCGGGGAACCGTTTAATTGCTGATGTCCGCGCACTCCCGGCTAGCCGGGTTTGCGCGGGGCCGCAGCGCTCACCTGTATCCCGGGCAGTTCCGAGGCTGGGCCGGGGCCACCCAGGGGGTGGGAGCGACATCCTAGCAGAGACAGGTGCAAGAACAGAAGGAACAGAAGAGCCCGGGGCAGCGCCGTCTGGGGGTCCATGTCCTGGAAGGGCGGATAAAGTTTTCTGCCGCTGCTTCTGCGCTGGGTCCCGGTTCACGTCTCACCTCCTTGCGGCCCGAAGGCGCTCTCCTGGATCCTCGGGCAACCGCGGCCTTTTATCCCAGGTTCTGGGAGCCGAGCCGGCCCTGCCCCTCTGGGTTATCTCTGATTTATCGGCCGCATTCCGGCCCGGCCCGCTGAGCTCAGGGCGGGGGAATGCACCTCTCCGCGCTGAGAGCTGGAAGCTGGGGAGAGCAGGCCTTGTATAGAAATGGGACTGGCCGGGGGCGGGGGCGTGCGGGGGGTGAGGGGGCGCGGGGGAGAAGGGGGACGGTGAGAAGTGGGACGGACACCAGTAGGTCCTTCGTCTCTTTCTTGCAAAAACACGGGGACCTATTCGTGGCTCTTTCCTCTTTCCTTCCCACCCCCATTCCTAGAGAAGGGAGAGGGAACGCAGGCGTTCCGAGACCCGACGCAAATGCGGGGCGCACTGGGGTGATTCAGAGAGAGAGAACAGCTCCGGCCAACACCCCACCACCGCAGCGCGTCTCCCCTCTCCGCCTGGAACTCGGCAGGCGCCGGTGACTTTCTGCACCCGGCCCAGCTGCTCGTCTCCCGGGCGCCCTGACTGCTGTCCGTGGTTCTGATCACCCTGAGCCAACGACGCAAGAGGTCTTGCTCTCCTCAACTCAGATCTTGCCAGAAAGACCAGCTCGGGCAGGGACGAGAGACTTTTGAGACCCCTCCTCACCCTCTCACTACCTCCTGCACCAGGATGCTAATTCTCTAGTATCACCTGATTAAAAGTCTGGGTACAACAAGGAACTTCTGGAATGCTGACTTCTTCCATCCTTTAAAGGGTAGAGCTGATTTGACAGGAATTTTGAGAGGCAAGGCCCAGAGATGAAGTCATTCAGGAATGCCTTCTATCACATCTCCTCCAGGTGCCAACACCTCCTTTAACATATGACGGATAAAGCAAGGATGACTGGAAGATGGTTATCTATTTGGTGAGACACTAGGGATGTGAGGAGTGTTTTCTGCAGGGCCTCCTTCGTCTGGCCATCCATGATCTAACTCCCATTCACAGATGGTCTGGCCTCCCGCCTGTGATTACAAATGGGGCTTTGCAGAAAAATGGCCCTGGGAAGAGACACAGCAGATTAAATGCCCCCTAAAGTGTGCATGACTGATGTCACCACCCCTTACAGATAACTTGTGTTGACAAGCAGCAGGATGAGGGAGCAGGACTGTTTAAGAAGGGAAATGTGTTATGACAGAGGTGCAGAAAGGGACAGCGAGGGGCGGAAGCTGGGATCTTTAAGCAAATCTTGCCTGTAAAATAGGATCTGTCAGGTATTAAGTGAGAAAACTACGATTATTTGTCCTCACTTTTCAGATAATGTAACTGAGCTCAGGGAAATTAATCTACCTTTCCCCCCTTTTTTTACACCTAAATTGCTATTTTAATTTTTTAATTGAGTATAGTTGATTTACAATATTATATTAGTGTCAGGTGTACAACACAGTGATTCAATATTTTATACACTATATAAAGTTATTATAAAATATTATTTTATATTAAAGTTATTATAAAATATTAGCTAATTCTCTGTGCTGTACATTACATCCTTATATCTTATTATTTGATACCTAATAGTGTATCCCTTAATCTCCTACCCCTGTATTTCACCTTACCCACCTTTCTCCCCACTGGTAACCTGGTAACCACTAGTTTGTTCTCTGTACCTCTGAGTCTATTTCTGTTCTATCATTCATTTGTTTTTTTATTAGGTTTTACATATAAGTGAAAACATACAGTATTTGTCTTTCTCTGTCTGACTTATTTCATTAAGCATAGTACCCTCTGGTTCCACCTATATTGTTGCAAATGGCAAATTTTCATTCTTTTTTGTGGCTGAGTAATATTTCTTTGTATATTTTTTTAATTGTATCATATCATTTTAGCCATTTATCTGTTGATGAACACTTGGGTTGTTTCCATAACTTAGCAATTGTTAATAATGCTGCTATGAACGCTGGGGTACATACGTCTCTTTGAATTCATGTTTTCATTTTCTTTGAATTTTTTCCCACAGGTGGAACAGCTGGATCATGTTATAGGTCTATTTTTAGTTTTTCTGAGGAATCTCCATACTATTTTTCACAATGGCTGCACCAGTTTACATTACCACCAACAGTGCATCAGGGTTCCCTTTTCCCCACATCCTCACCAACATTTATCTGCGGTCTTTTTGATGATAGCCACTCTGACAGCTGTGCAGTGATAGCTCATTGCAGTTTTGATTTGCCTTTCTCCGATGATTAACAATGGCGAGCATCTTTTCATATGCTTGTTGGCCATCTGTATGTCTTCTTTGGAAAAAATGTCTATTCAGATCTTCTGCCCAGTTTTTAATCAATTTTTATCAGTTTTTAAAATATTGAATTGTATGAACTGTTTATATATTTTGGATATGATCTCCCTTATCAGATATATCATTTGCAAATATTTTCTCCCATTCAATAGGTTGTCTTACATAGCTTCGTTTTTTTTCTTTTTCTTTTCTTTCTTTTCTTTTGACTAAAGGTAGATTTATTTAGAGAGATACGTACTGCATAGAGTTCAGGCTGTTTCAGAAGGTGAGAGAAAGGCCACAAGGTGTGGGGGTTGGGTGCTCAGTTTAAAGTAAAAGTAGGTACACACTCCATAGACAGAGTGTGGGCCATCTCCGAAGATGAGGGAGCCAGAGAGGCGGCCAATGAGGCTTGGTGTTGCCAGTTTTTATGGGCTCGTTAGCTTCACACGCCTGCAAGTGGGAAGACTACTCCAGCTACCCCGGGGGAGGGGCTGGGATTCCCAGGAATTGGGCCACCACTCACTCTTTGACATTTTGTGATTAGCCTTGGGACTGTCATGGCGCCTGTGGGCATGTTATTTATCACGCTAATATGTTACTATGAGCATATGATGAAGCTCAGGGTCTACTGGGATTTGAATCTTTCACTATTATCGTGTTAATTGCTGTCATTCCTCGAATGGCTGTGTCCTGCTCCTCTCCCTCCTGTCTCAAAAGGACACATCACTGAAGGTGATATCCACACTCCCAATGTACTGAAGGCTTTTAGGGCCAGTTGCCTTTTATTTTGAATTTCCAACTTATGAGAAAGTTTCAAGAATAATTCAAAGACGCCTCACTTACCTTTAACTCAGATAAAACCATTTTTTAATATTTTGCCACATTTGTTTTCTTTCTCTCAGGTTAGGTAAACTATGACACAGGTGACTGAAAAAAAACAGATAAGTTACACTTCATCAAAATTAAAAACTTCTTGGGGGAGTGTATAGCTCAGGTGGTAGAGTGTATGCTTAGCCTGCATGAGGTCCTAGGTTTAATTCCCGGTACCTCCTCCAAATAGAAATAAGTAAAAACAAACCTAATTACCTCCCCCTCATAAATACAAACAAAAAAATTAGAAACTTTCGTGTATCAAAGGACACTATCAAGAAAATGAAAAGACAGCTTAGTGAGAGGGTATAGCTCAAATGGTAGAGAGTGTGCTTAGGACGCACAAGGTCCTGAGTTCAATCCCCAGTACCTCCATTAAAAAATAAATAAATAAACAAACCTAATTATCTCCCCCAGAAATAAATAAATAAATAAATAAATAAATAAATAAATAAATAAAAGAAGGATTTTTAAAATGTGCAAAATCAATAAGGCAACTCAAAAAAATAATCTTGAAAAATTTTTTAAATGAAAAGGCAACTTTTTGAAATATTTGCCAATCATATATTTAAATGCCCAGAATAACATTAAGAACTCATACAATCCAACCAAAACACAAATAGCCCAATTTTCTTTAATGGGCAAAGGATTTGAATAGACATTTCTCCAAAGAAGATACACAAATGGCCAATGAATGCATGAAAAGATGCTCAACATCAGTAGTCATTAGGAAAATGCAAATCAAACACCACTTTCTGCACTAAGATGGCTATAACTTTTTTTTTAAATGGAAAATAACAAATGTTGGCGAGGATATGCAGAAACTGGAGCCCTTACACACAGCTAATGGAATGGAGAATGGGCGACTCCTTTAGAAAGCACTTTGGTGGTTCCTCAAAAAGTTTAATGTAGAGTTTACCATATGACCCAGCAATTCTACTCCTAAGTATATACCTAGGAAAGATGAAAACATATGCCCACACAAACACTTGCACACATTCATAGCAACATTATTTATCAGAGCTAAAAGATGCCTAAGAATCCCAAGACGCCAGAGACCACGTATTGGTAGTCCCTTTATATGAAATGTCCAGAAAAAGCGAATCATCAGAGACAAGCTAGATTTAGTGGTTGTTTGGGGCTGGAAGTGGCAACTTGGAGTGACAGCAGATATTCCAAGAAGTCCTACTGGGGTGGTGGGAATGTCCTAACACTGGATTCTGGTGATGGTTGAACAATTTGGTAAATTACTAAAACTCATTGAAGTGTGCATATAAAATGGGATGAATTTTATGGCATGTAAATTACGCCTCAGTAAAATTGTTTTTTAAAAATCACATGGCCATCATATGAAACATGTCCCCCAATTTGAAACAGTTCACAGGTCTATCAGCTGATGAATTGATCAACAAAATATGCAATCTCCACACAATGAAATATCATTTAGCCTTAAAAGGATATAGTACTGATACATGTTACAACATAGAGGAACCTCAAAATATGCTAAGTGAAAGAAGCAGACACAGAAGACCACATATTGTATGATTCTACTTATATGAGATGTTCAGAATAGGCAAATCCACAGAGACAGACAGTAGATGAGTGGTTGCCAGAGCTGAGGAGGGGGACGAGAAATGGGGAATAGTTGCGAATGAGTACACTGATGAAAATGTTCTGGGATTAGTTGTGATGATTGCACAACCTCATAATTTGCTAAAGGTATGGTTGAAATGCAGGATGTGAGTCGTACAGGTAAAAACAATAGAAATATCCTCTTCGTTTTCTGGGCTCTGAAACAATTAATGGAGCAGTGGAACAAGCCAGACTCTAAAGTTGTCGTAGGATTTCCCCTTGAAAACATC